GCACTAGGGTAGTTGGCTTGAAATCCCAACCATGGCACCGCCTGCTTGGAGGTTCTCTCTGTGCCTGCGTGCCTGGTTTCCTCCGGGTACTCCGGTTTCCTCCCACACTCCAAAGACATGCTGGTAGGTGAATTGGCTCCTGTCTAAATTGTCCCTAGTATGTGTATGTATGAATGTGAGTTAGGGACCTTAGATTGTACACCCCTTGGGGGCAGGGACTGATGGGAATGTACAATATATATGTAAAGCGCTGTGTAAATTGACGGCGTTATATAAGTACCTGAAATAAATAAATATAAAGTATTTAGCAGTTTATATTTACTAAAATATTTGCATTTCCATGTTCTGTGTACTGTGGGAGACCAATAGTGAATGCGGGGTCCGGAGAAAGCGCATATAGTGAATGTGGGGTCCGGGGAGAGCGGATATAGTGAATGCAGGATCCGGGGAGAGCGGATATAGTGAATGCGGGGTCCGGGGAGAGCGGATATAGTGAATGCGGGGTCCGGGGAGAGCGGATATAGTGAATGCGGGGTCCGGGGAGAGAGGATATAGTGAATGCGGGGTCCGGGGAGAGCGGATATAGTGAATGCAGGATCCGGGCAGAGTGGGGGATATAGTGAATGCAGGGTCCGGGGAGCGCATATAGTGAATGCGGGGTCCGGGGAGAGAGGGATATAAGGAATGCAGGGTCTGGGGAGAGCGGATATAGTGAATGCAGGGTCCGGGGAGAGCGAATATGGTGAATGCGGAGTCCGGGGAGAGCGAATATAGTGAATGCGGGGTCCAGGTAGAGCGAATATGGTGAATGCGGGTCCGGGGAGAGCGGATATAGTGAATGAATGCGGGGTCCGGGGAGAGCGGATATAGTGAATGCAGGGTCCGGGGAGAGCAGATACAGTGAATGCGGGGTCCGGGGAGAGCAGATATAGTGAATGCGGGGTCCGGATAGAGCGGATATAGTGAATGCGGGGTCCGGGGAGAGGGATATAAGAATGTAGGGTCCGGGGAGAGTGGATATAGTGAATGCGGGGGGGTCCAGGTAGAGCGAATATGGTGAATGCCGGGGTCGGGGGAGAGCGGATATAGTGAGAGCGGATATATAGTGAATGCGGGGTCCGGGGAGAGCGGATATAGTGAATGCGGGGTCCGGGGAGAGCGGATATAGTGAATGCAGGGTCCGGGGAGAGCGGATATAGTGAATGTGGGGTCCGGGGAGAGTGGATATAGTGAATGCAGGGTCCGGGGAGAGCGGATATAGTGAATGCGGGGTCCGGGGAGAGTGGATATAGTGAATGCGGGGTCCAGGGAGAGCGGATATAGTGAATGCGGGGTCCGGGGAGAGCAGATATAATGAATGCGGGGTCCGGGGAGAGCGGATATAGTGAATGCGGGGTCCGGGGAGAGCAGATATAGTGAATGCGGGGTCCGGGGAGAGCAGATATAATGAATGCGGGGTCTGGGTTTAGTAACACTTTAGTGATGTATCACAGCATTCACTTTATCTGAAAATATAGTAAACATGGTTAAAAATGTGCCCATAGCAACTTTATAAATAGTTAAAAACTGTCTCTTGTAAGAAAAAAATAGAATAAATTATTACAATTTCAGCCTGCAATGTATAGTCTCCATCGTGGATTCATTTTGTGTTTCTTTTGTTTGAATTTTCTATACAGCTAGTTTTCAGAGAGCAGATTGCAGCTTTAATATATGCATTCATTTACCAAACCATACCACCCAGATGGAAAAATAAACATTTTTATTTAATAGGCAGGATGATGCGATAAAAGTGGGGAATGAGGATTAAGACGCGGCAGCGGCTAATCTTTCATTTCTCCAATATTTATGATTGTTGTAAAGTAGCCGGGGAATGAAAAAAATGCAATTAGGTTTAAAAAGGGAGAAATATATGTAGTTTAAGCAAGCTGTATCTGGTTTTGTAGGGCACAGGCACATCTTGCAGGGAGAATGATTATTGTGCGTTTATCATCACAGAAATGCGTATTCTGATTTCTCTGCCCCTTTTATAAAGAAGGTGAATGAATTAAAGAAAGGGCAAGCAATAGGATGGCTGGGAAGGGCAGCTATCACTTGCCCTTGCTAGGAGAAATAGACCTTCTCAATGGGATTACGTCCCCTCTTATAACCTATCAGTCGTCTGATCAGAAATTCATAATGCAGGCCATCTATTCCGCGTCTCGGCTGGGGCCCGCATGATTGAATTTAAATAAGCAAATTCCAGGCCGGGGCTTTGACATTCTGTCTGACGGTCCCCCCTATCTCCCTCTATTTTTTTTTTTTTTTCCTCCTACCTTTCAAATCATAATGGCTTGCCTTATTACTTACCCCCTCTACTTACCACCATTTTAAATGGGTCAGATGGAGCTTTATGAAAATTTATCAGGAATTGGAGGATTGGAAGCTCCAGCATGAGAAGGAGAGATAGGAGAAAAATGCAAATGTCCTGCTGTCCGAAAAAAAAGAAAATCCAAACATACAAAACATGCACATCTTTAAAATAATTATATATATATATATATATAAATATATATATAAAAAAAAAATAATAAATATATGTGTATATATATATATATATATATATATATATAATATAAAATATATATATTATATAATATTATTATATATATAATATAATATATTAATATATAATATTATTAATATAATATTAATATTTTCTCTTTTAAAATAAGTTGTGTGGGATTGTTTGCAGTTGATAAATATAAAATAGTGAAAATCATTTTTTTAATTTCTTCATTTTCTAAAAAATTATGAGAAAAAAATTACAACTTCAAAAAACTCGTCATGCCTGTTATGAAATACGTCGGACTGTCTACTTTGTAAAAAGGTTTCATTTGGGGGATATCTGTACTGTCCTGACATTTGGGGGATATGTGTCCTGTCCTGACATTTGGGGGATATCTGTACTGTCCTGACATTTGGGGGATATCTGTACTGTCCTGACATTTGGGGGATATCTGTACTGTCCTGACATTTGGGGGATATCTGTACTGTTCTGACATTTGGGGGATATCTGTACTGTCCTGACATTTGGGGGATATCTGTACTGTCCTGACATTTGGGTGATATCTGTACTGTCCTGACATTTGGGGGATATCTGTACCGTTCTGACATTTGGGGGATATCTGTACCGTCCTGACATTTGGGGGATATCTGTACCGTCCTGACATTTGGGGGATATCTGTACCGTCCTGACATTTGGGGGATATCTGTACTGTTCTGACATTTGGGGGATATGTGTACAGTGCTGACATTTGGGGGATATGTGTACTGTCCTGACATTTGGGGGATATCTGTCCTGTTCTGACATTTGGGGGATATCTGCACTGTCCTGACATTTGGGGGATATCTGCCCTGTCCTGACATTTGGGGGATATCTGTCCTGTTCTGACATTTGGGGGATATGTGTACTGTCCTGACATTTGGGGGATATCTGTACTGTCCTGACATTTGGGAGATATCTGTCCTGTTCTGACATTTGGGGGATATCTGCACTGTCCTGACATTTGGGGGATATCTGCCCTGTCCTGACATTTGGGGGATATCTGTCCTGTCCTGACGTTTGGGGGATATCTGTCCTGTTCTGACATTTGGGGGATATCTGTACTGTCCTGACGTTTGGGGGATATCTGTACCGTCCTGACATTTGGGGGATATCTGTACCGTCCTGACATTTGGGGGATATCTGTACTGTCCTGACATTTGGGGGATATCTGTACCCTCCTGACATTTGGGGGATATCTGTACTGTCCTGACGTTTGGGGGATATCTGTACCGTTCTGACATTTGGGGGATATCTGTACTGTCCTGACATTTGGGGGATATCTGTACTGTTCTGACATTTGGGGGATATCTGTCCTGTCCTGACATTTGGGGGATATCTGTACTGTGCTGCCATTTGGAGGATATCTGTACTGTCCTGATATTTGGGGGATATCTGTACTGTCCTGACATTTGGGGGATATCTGTACTGTTCTGACATTCTTGGACCTCAAGAAATTAGATTGGCTGTCAGTACTTCAGGATTGATCAATTTTCAGATACATCCCATAGTTTGTGAACTCTATAACTTTCCTACAGACTAAATAATAAATACTAATTTGGGTTATTTTCACCAAAGACATGTAGTAGAATACATCTCGGCCTAAATTTATGAAGAACAATTATTTATTTGCAAACTTTTATAACAGAAACAAAGAAAAACGTGTTTTAATTTTTAAAATTTTCTGTCTTTTTTTGTTAATTTAGCAAAAAATAAAACACCAGTGGTGATAAAATACCACCCAAAGAAAGCTCTAGTTGTGTGAAGAAAATGATAACATTTTAGTTTGGATACAGTGTTGCATGACCGTTCAATTGTCATTCAAAGTGTGAGATCGCTGAAACCTGAAAATTGGCCTGGGCAGGAAGGGGGTTAAAGGAAAAATTCTCTTTCCCTAAAATTTAAACAGTAAAAAGTATCCTCTCTCCAGTCTTGGAACATCGCGAGGTATTTTACAATGAAAGACGAGGATTATTAATTTGTTGCGATTGGTTATTGAATGTATTTCTTGCTGATACATTCATATTGCTCTTGCGTTGTAATGTTTTATTTGGGACTACATGCTATCATGAAGATGTATATTTTGGTAATAAGCGTTGTTTTGTGTTATTATGTTCCTTTGGACCTTATGAGCTCCCTGCCCCCTCCAATATCTTACCATGTCCATCAGTCAAAGTGAAGAATGTCCGTGTTGTGCCGTAGGTCCGCGTGAGAAGTGCCTATTTTTACTCTTGTTGCTTTTTTACTTCAATAACAAGATATGTGACCTCCATTATCTGCCAGTAGATCCATTAATATATGTATTTAACTAGCCAGTCAGGAATGTTTTGCTTTCAGCCTGGAGGTTAATAACTCATATTTTGTCTGCGGCCTGATACCATATTCCAATTAAATGGTAATATCCTTTTCCATCATTAACCCCTTCCAGTCCGGACACTTTCACCCCCTTCCAGTCCAGGCCAATTTTCAGCTTTCAGCGCTGTATAACATATAACATACTGCAGATCACCACGTTGTATTCTGAAATGATACTACACTAAGGATCAAGGTTTCTCCAACATGGAGCCCACGGGTTCCTCCAGAGGTTCCTATGGGTTCCTTAACCCCTTCCAGTCCGGACACTTTCACCCCCCCCCTTCCAGTCCGGACACTTTCCCCCCCCCCTTCCAGTCCGGACACTTTCCCCCCCTTCCAGTCCGGACACTTTCCCCCCCCTTCCAGTCCGGACACTTTCCGTCCCTTCCAGTCCAGACACTTTCCGCCCCTTCCAGTCTGGACACTTTCACCCCCTTCCAGTCCGGACACTTTCCCCCCCCCTTCCAGTCCGGACACTTTCACCCCCCTTCCAGTCCAGGCCAATTTTCAGCTTTCAGCGCTGTATAACATATAACATACTGCAGATCACCAAGTTGTATTCTGAAATGATACTACACTAAGGATCAAGGTTTCTCCAACATGGAGCCCACGGGTTCCTCCAGAGGTTCCTATGGGTTCCTTAACCCCTTCAAGTCCGGACACTTTCACCCCCTTCCAGTCCAGACACTTTCCGCCCCTTCCAGTCTGGACACTTTCACCCCCCTTCCAGTCCGGACACTTTCCCCCCCTTCCAGTCCGGACACTTTCCCCCCCTTCCAGTCCAGACACTTTCCCCCCTTCCAGTCCGGACACTTTCCATCCCCTTCCAGTCTGGACACTTCCCCCCCCTTCCAGTCCGGACACTTTCCCCCCCTTCCAGTCCGGACACTTTCCCCCCCTTCCAGTCCCGGACACCTTCCCCCCCCCTTCCAGTCCGGACACTTTCCCCCCCCTTCCAGTCCAGACACTTTCACCCCCTTCCAGTCCGGACACTCCCCCCCTTCCAGTCCGGACGCTTCCACCCCCTTCCAGTCCGGACACTTTCCCCCCCTTCCAGTCCGGACACTTTCCCCCCCTTCCAGTCCGGACACTTTCCCCCCCTTCCAGTTCGGACACTTTCCCCCCCTCCAGTCCGGACACTCCCCCCCTTCCAGTCCGGACGCTTCCACCCCCTTCCAGTCCAGACACTTTCACCCCCTTCCAGTCCGGACACTTCCCCCCCTTCCAGTCCGGACGCTTCCACCCCCTTCCAGTCCGGACACTTTCCCCCCCTTCCAGTCCGGACACTTTCCCCCTTCCAGTCCGGACACTCCCCCCCCTTCCAGTCCAGACGCTTCCACCCCCTTCCAGTCCGGACACTTTCATTCCCTTCCAGTTTGGACACTTTCCCCCCTTCCTGTCCAGGCCAATTTTCAGCTTTCAGCGCTGTCACACTTTGAATGACAATTGCGCAGTCATGCAACACTGTACCCATATGAAATTTTGTGCCCTTTCGTTGGTGTCAATGGGAGGAATTGTGTTCCATCATTGGTGTCAGTAAAAGGATTTATGCCCCATCGTTGGTGTCAATGGAAGGAATTCTGCCCCATCATCAGTGTCAGTGGGAGGAATAGTGGCCCATTGTGGGTATCAGTGGAAGAATGTGGCCCATCGTTGGTGTCAGTGGGAGGAATAGTGCCCCATCATTGGCATCAGTGACAGGAATTTTGCCCCATTGTTGATGTCAGTAGATGGAATAGTGCCAAAGATCATACTGCCCCTGCCTACAGGGAGGTCATACTGCACCTGCCTAGGAGGAGATCATACTGCCCCTGCCTATGGGGGATCATACTGCACCTGCCTAGGGGGATATCATACTGCCCCTGCCTATGGGGGATCATACTGCACCTGCCAGCAGGGAGGTCATACTGCCCCTGCCTAAGGGGAGGTCATACTGCACCCATCAACAGGGAGGTCATACTGCCCCTGCCTAAGGGGAGGTCATACTGCACCCGTCTACAGGGAGATCATACTGCACATGCATACAGGGAGGTCATACTGCACTTGCCTACAGGGAAATCATACTGCCCCTGCCTGCATGGAGGTCATACTGCCCCTGTATACAGGGAGGTCATACTGCACCTGCCTACAGGGAGGTCATACTGCACCTGCCTTAAAGAGAGATCATACTGCCCCTGCCTACAGGGAGATCATACTACACTTGCCTACAGGGAGGTCATACTGCACCTGCCTACATGGAGGTCATACTGCACCTGCCTACAGAGAGGTCATACTGCCCCCTGCCTACAGAGAGATCATACTGCCCCTGCCTACAGAGAGATCATACTGCCCCTGCCTACAGAGAGATCATACTGCCCCTGCCTACAGAGAGATCATACTGCCCCTGCCTACAGGGAGGTCATATTGCATCTGCCTACAGAGAGGTCATACTGCCCCTGCCTACAGGGAGGTCATACTGCACCTGCCTACAGAGAGGTCATACTGCACCTGCCTACAGGGACTTCATACTGCACCTGCCTACAGGGAGGTCATACTGCACCTGCCTACAGGGACTTCATACTGCCCCTGCCTACAGGGAGGTCATATTGCACCTGCCTACAGGGAGGACATACTGTGCCTGCCTACAGGGAGGACATACTGTGCCTGCCTACAGGGAGGTCGTCATACTGCCCCTGCCTACATGGAGGTCATACTACACCCACCTACAGGGACTTCATACTGCACCTGCCTACAGGGACATCATACTGCACCTGCCTACAGGGAGGACATACTGTGCCTGCCTACAGGGAGGTCGTCATACTGCCCCTGCCTACATGGAGGTCATACTACACCCACCTACAGGGAGGTCATACTGCCCCTGCCTACAGAGAGGTCATACTGCACCTGCCTACAGGGAGGTCATACTGCACCTGCCTACATGGAGAGGTCATACTGCCCCTGCCTACAGGGAGGTCATACTGCACCTGCCTACATGGAGGTCATACTGCACCTGCCTACATGGAGGTCATACTGCCCCTGCCTACAGGGAGGTCATACTGCGCCTGCTGACATACTGCCCCTGCCTACATGGAGGTCATACTGCACCTGCCTACATGGAGGTCATACTGCACCTGCCTACAGGGACTTCATACTGCCCCTGCCTACAGGGACTTCATACTGCCCCTGCCTACAGGGAGGTCATACTGCACCCGCTGACATTGAGATCATACTGCACCTGCCTACAGGGAGATCATACTGCCCCTGCCTACAGGGAGGTCATACTGCACCCGCTGACATACTGCCCCTGCCTAGGGGGAGGTCATACTGCACCCGCTGACATTGAGATCATACTGCCCCTGCCTACAGGGAGGTCATACTGCCCCTGCCTACAGGGAGGTCATACTGCACCTGCCTACATAGAGGTCATACTGCCCCTGCCTACAGGGAGGTCATACTGCCCCTGCCTACAGGGAGGTCATACTGCACCTGCCTACATAGAGGTCATACTGCCCCTGCCTACAGGGAGGTCATACTGCACCTGTATACAGGGAGGTCATACTGCACCCGCTGACATTGAGATCATACTGCCCCGCCTACATGCTCAGGCTATAAAAAGGCCAAACAAAAGGCCAAAATGAGTATTCTTATTTACAAAAACAAATGGTAAACATACCCAGTTCTTTGGCAAACTGAATGTCATTCAATTAGGGTTTACTTCTACTTCTTAAACCAAATTTACATTTTTTTCCACCTTCGTTTTTTTTTTGTTTGTTTTTTTAACTAAAATCTTGATAACTCCTATGAGAACAAAAATTTTAGACAATTCACATGAGAATTGTGACCTAGGAAGCCAGAGAAGAAAGCTGCAATTTACACCTACCCAACCTCCATCCAATTTCCAGCATACTCCTTGCAGATGGAGGATTATTAATAAGGAATTAAGAGCAGACATATTCATTTTGGAAGCTGAAGAACTACATTATTCAACCTAATCCCTACCAAGAGGCAGGATCAAGCAGGTAACTAGCTGTTCTGTAGCGTGTAAACCGCCTTGCGTAATTGTATGGAAATAAGCACACCAGATTGCTTCCGCCATGAATTATACATGAGAATGAATGTACATACGTGTCAATGTACAAACTCAGCCTACTTTCATTCCAGCTACTAATGAATGTACCCCATTGTGTTTCGAGGTGCTGCCATCGCACGCAAATGGCTCTGCTTTTTATAGCTGGCGCAGCGCTATTTCCATGAGGGTGTCTACCCAGAACTAGAGAAACTAGTCGCGGTCGCGTGGGCTCAGGTGAAAATGATGATTTTAGCAATTGAAATTCCATCCAACTTCCCGGTCTAGACTACCAAGGGTGGACTCGGGGAAAAGAAAAAAGTAATTATCAGCTCGTAAAACTATTTTAAAGCGCCTTCTATGCCTCATCTACAGCATTTATAATCCAAGATTATTTCGAAATACTATTTTTGTCTGCTAGAGCGCTCATAAGAGGCAGACAGAACATTTGGTATTGTTCATCAAAGCTTTCTAGGGGACTTTGTAAATGGCCCATTGACAGGGGCAGACTGACCATTTGGAAACTCGGGCACTGCCCGAGGGCCCGGGGGTCAGTAGGGGGCCACATGAGATGCCCCTGATACCTTTTTCATAGGCTTTTTTGAGTTTGGGCAAGGTTACAGGGACCCCATGATCGCCTATCGCCCGGGGGCCCCATGAGTTGTCAGTCCACGCCTGGTCACAGCATGTCACATGGCACTGGCAACGGGGCTGGTACACAGATCTGTCATCGGCCGTGTCTGAGGTACACGGCTGGTGACAGATCTCACCACAGCGCGGTCCTGCGGGCATGCGCGTTCTGCCCCTCTGCCAATCCCTCCACTGGCTTCCGATTGCGCAACGGATCAAATTCAAAATCCTACAAAGCCGTCCACCATACTGCCCCCGAACTACATCACTGACCTAATATCCAAGTACCACCCAACACGCACACTCCGCTCCTCACAAGACCTCCTTCTCTCTAGTTCCCTGGTCTCCTCCTCCCCCATGCCCGCCTCCAGGACTTCTCCAGGGTGTCACCCATCCTCTGGAACTTCCTGCCCCAACCCATCAGATTATCACCTACTCTCCTCTCCTTTAGGTGCACCCTGAAAACCCATCTCTTCAGGGAAGCCTACCCCACCCCCCCTACTAACTTGCCAACCTCCTCCACTCTTCCTACCACCCCCATCCCCCACAGCTATCTCCTCCTGTGCCACCATCCCCTCCCTCCTAGATTGTAAGCTCGAAAGAGCAGGGCCCTCGATCCCCTCATGTTTTGCATTGTATTGGTATTGTTCTGTCACATGTTCTGTCCCCCTTTGTAATGTACAGCGCTGAGCGAACTATCGGCGCTTTATAAATACTGTATAATAATAATAATAATAATATGGCGTCCACCCGTAGGGACGAGCTGTTCCAGCCAGATGGCGGCCGGGCGGCAACTGGTTGAGATGCAACCTTTTTTAGAGCTTACATTGCA